GGGGTGTCTTACAATTTGGAAGGCCAGGTGGTACCCAAGGTCATAATTCTCTGAACCCATGGGCCATATGTGGTCTGGTCCATTGGCAGAGGGAAATAAGGATGAAGTACTAATGTTTTGACCTAAAACTGCATGCATCTGCTCCAGTGTATGTGCCCCTGAAGGACAAAGCAAGGGCAGTATGTGGGGTGCGGCCCCCGTCTGCCCCCCACCTCCTCTGTGGAGGGTGGCAAAGCTGCTTCTCCCTTCCCCAGGGACGTGTGGTGTGCTGCTGCGGAAGGTGAATGGGACAGCCATCATCCAGCTGCCCTCTAAGAGGCAGATGCAGGTGTGTGTGTGGGTACAAGTGGGAGGGATCAGCAAGGGAGGAATTTTTGGAATGTGCCTTTCCCAGCCCACATATCTCCCAGGTGTTTTATGTTAGGAACTGCCCCGAGCTGGGTTTGTCCTTTTGCGCTGTGTGACTAGGAATGCTTACTCAGACTGGCACCATAATGGAATGGAGAACACTGTCTTTTGTTTTCAATTCCTGTAGGACCTGCACTCAGGTTCAGTTATGTTGCACTTTTCCCTTGTCCTCTCCCCTTCTCTCATTGAGTGTAAGAACCTTCCCAAGAGTCCTGCTCTCAACATTGTCAGGCTCTTTCCTCCCAGGGTGCATTCTCTTCCATCTTTCTGTCTCAGGTGCTGGAAACGTGCATAGCAACAGTAGGCCGAGTATCCAACGTTGATCATAACAAAAGGGTCATTGGCAAGGCTGGGCGGAACCGCTGGCTGGGCAAGAGGCCTTCTAGCGGGCTATGGCACCGAAAGGGGGGCTGGGCTGGCCGAAAGATTCGGCCCCTGCCCCCAATGAAGAGTTATGTGAAGCTGCCTTCAGCTGCTGCCCAGAGCTGATATCCCTGGACTCTTAATAAAATGACCCCCATTTTTATCTGTTACTGGTGTTTTGGGAGGGGAGATGGTACATACTGGACCGGGAGAAAGAAAGGAGCAAACAAGCGTGTGGAGAGAAAGGGACGGACAATATGGGGCAAAGACTGCGGCTGCAAAACCCTCATTTCCAGCCTTCCCCCTTCTCTCAGTTCTTCCTTCATGGGTAATGGAGGGGGGTAATAAACGACCTCCAAGATCTTAGTTCTGACTGGGGAAATGCAGGAGGTACTTCCGGTGGCAGGAGGGAGGACAAAAAGGAAGAGGAAAGGGCGCCGGGAGGAGGAGGTGCCGCGTCACCGTCACCGAGGTGGCAACCCGCGGCTCCGCCCCAGCGCTCTCCCAGGGCCCCTAGTTTTCCGCTGGGTACAGCGGAAATGAGCCCAGGCTGTGGGCGGGTGGCAGAGCCCCCAGAGCTGGGCGGGTGGCACCACCGGCTGGGACNGGGACCTGCCCCTCCCCAGCCGCTGCAGACCTGCCTGCGCTCGGCGACAGGGCCCGGCCCCGCGCCCCCGCTCGCCACGCCCCCTGCCTGAACGCCCCGCGGAGGCACGCCCCCTTCCACCCTGGGCTCCGGCGGGGCCCAAATCTCCATCAGCCAGCGTCGCCCCCAACGTCGCCGCGCTCCTATCTCAGCGAAGGACAGGCCTCGCGCCAGGACCCCCATCTACTTCTGAGGTGGCCAGAGCCCCGCCGCGGCCCCCTGCCCCTACCCTGGGTTTTCCTCCCTCTAGCCCACCGAGCCTTGCTCCGTACCCGACCTCGCATTCCCCATTCCACTATGCCTCGGGATTCTGGTTTATCTTGCCCAGCCACCTACCCCCACCTTGTTGCACGCGCCCCCCTTTCCCCCCTC